GCGGGGACACAAGACAGGACAAGGAAGCGGCGGGGGGCCGGTGTGGACATGGCTGGCTCCGTGGCAGCCGGTCCATCACACCCACAGCTCAGTCCCCACAGGTCACTCCCGCCCTGCAGGTGGAGGGTGCAGCCCAGGACAGGTGAGCAGCTCCCAGAGGCACCTGGGCCCGGGCTTCCCTCTCACCCGCCTCGGCACCCAGCTCTTCCCACGGGCTCCCCACAGGATCCCCGGGGGGTGGAGGGCGTGGCTCTGGGTGAGGACTGCATCTCCTGGTTTTCCAAAACGGAAATCCTTCCACTCGGGGACCTAACACCTTCAGGGGCCCGAGTCTATCAGTTTGCCCTAAATCCCATTAATGAGCCAGAGGAGAGAGAGGTGTGGAGGCTGCCGGATGTGGGCAGAGGGACGGGCCGGGCCTGGAGCTCAGGGAGTCAGGTGAGGGCCCCAGTGACCTGAGGAAAGGACCCTCAGTGCCCAGTGGGGGCACTTGCAAGGAAGTCAGGGAGGGGGCTGTGGCCCAGTGTCCCCAGCCCCACCCCCATTCAGCGTGCAGGAGGGAAGTCACCCAGCCACACGTGGACTCACGGCTCCCACCCACCCCACCCTGACTCCCCACCCATCAAACCCCAGGCTCAGGGGCGGGGCCCAGGTGCAGCAGGGGAAGGACATGCCAAGGAGGCGAGCCCAGGGGCCCAGGAGCAGAGGGAGAGCTGTGGCAGGGCCGGGGAAGAGCCCCCAGCCCTTGCCAAAGGGGGGGGTCTGTGGGCACCCCACTTCCCATCCTGTTCACCTCAGCTGTCAGAGCCATCGCTGCTGCCCTCTGGGGCCTCCCTAACCTCCCAGCCAGCACACCCACGGTGGCCACCGTCCAGGGTGCGGGCTCCTGGGCCGGCTGGTGATGCCCGTGCCGAAGGAGAGCACGGCCCTTCCCCGTGATCCACGAGTGCACCGTGGACCAGAGGGAACGTTCCCCGCCTCCCACGGCAGGCCTCGGCCTGTTTCCTGAGATGCACACTCACCGCCTGGCAGATTCACCCCAGAAACACACCCTGTCCTAAAACACCCAAGTCCTCAGGACACAGGAAGCGGTGTCAGAGGGCACCGAGTTTCTTATGTAGACCCTTCCCCATCTCCCCCTAACGCCAGGCCCCATGTGCACACACGGACACAGAGAAACCACACATCACTGCCCTCCTCCATTCTCACCAGAAATGGGGGGCGGGGGGCGAGCCCCCGTCGCCCACGGCCTGGCTCTCCTCTCTGGACCAATAAGCTGAAGGTGGAGGCATGTCATGCAGCTGTCCAGGTGTGCCCTGCCCCCGGGTTCGTGGGGACCCAGAGCCCCCTCCAGGCCCCAGCTTCCCTCACCCCCCCCCACGAGGTGACCAGGGCCTGTCAAGTCCTCCTTTGCACATGGCCTTGGGGGCCGCATCCCTGAGCAAGGACTCAGGTCCAGGACCACCTTGCTGGCAGGGTGGGGACTTGAACCTGTGAACCCTGAGTGGCACCTGCGTCTCCTGGTTCCCAGCAGGAATGTTTGGGGCCCCGTGGGTGGCAGTGCCCCGGCCCGGGTCAGCGGCTGCCCCACAACCCCACAAGTCTGTTAATAGGTCAATCATTGCTGGACGCTGGACCTCGGGTCATCCGTAGACGGAGTCCCAGGGTTGCCATGGCAACGCCTGAACCAGAAGCGCAGGCCTCCGAGGGTTACAAGGCGGGCTGGGCTCTGGGGTAGCCGGGCGGGGGCGGGCACCAGCCTTCTTGGGGCCACCTCACGTGGACGCATCCAAACCAAACTCTTTTTTTTCATTTTTACTGACGTCCAGGCAGGTTGCACTGTTGCACCAGTTTCTGGTGCACAGCACGGTGCTTCAGTCATGCATGAACCTATCAGACTTGCTTTCGTGTTCTCTTTCACCACAGGTCGCCACAAGGTATTGAACCTGGTTCCCTGGGCCGCACAGGACGGACTTGCTGTTTATCTGTCTCATATGTACCAGTCAGTTTCTGCAAATCTCAGACTCCCGTTTATCCCTCCCCACCCCCGTCCCCACTCGGGTCACCGTAAGTTTGTTTTCTGTCTGGGAGTCTGTTTCTGCTTTGTAAATAAGCCCGCCTGTCTTTTTCCCAAGATTCCACGTGTAAGTGACACCACGTGGGATTTTACTGGTTTAGTCATTCTCTTCTGTGTTCGCTTGGTTTCTTTTTGGTTTTCGTGACTCCAAACCAAACTCTTGATGCGGAAACGTCCCACCTGCAGGGCGGCCGCGGGAGCGGCCTGGCCTGTGCGGGTGTCATCGCGCGCGTCACAGACACTCGCTTTCACGGATCAGGAGATCCAGGCATCACAGAACCTTCTCATAAAGGGACCTCAGGAAGCTGCCCGTCACCTCGTGGGCAGCACTTCAGCTCTGGTTATCCGGCCAGTGGCCAAGCCGGGGCTCCCACCGCAGGTCCCCTGCCCCTGGCTCTACGTTTCCAACCCTCAGTCTCCTCTTCTTTAAAATGGGCTGGTGTCCGTCCTGCTGCCTTTAGAGGCTCCCTTCCAGGAACAGTGCAGGGCTGCACGTGGGCCGTCCCCGCAGGCAGGGGCTGTGGCAGTCAGCGGCGTGGTGCTTGTCGTGGTGGAATCGTGGCCTCCGAAAAGACGTCTCAATGCTAAGCCCACAGCATGCAGGCCTGACCTTATTCGGGAAAGGGTCTTTGCAGATCTAGTAAAGGTCAGGATCAAGATGAGATCATTCTGGATCCCCGGGTAGAACTTAAACGCAGGGGCTGGTGTCCTTCCAAGAAAAGCAGAGACACAGGCCCAGGGAGGAGGCCATGGGGCCAGGCGGCAGAGATGGAAGGGAGGGGGCCACAAGCCAGGGATGCTGGCAGCACCAGAAGCTGGAAGAGGCAGGAAGGGCCCTCCCCTCCAGCCCCAGAGGGGGCGACAGCCTGCCCACACCTTGATTTCACACTTCTGGTCTCCATATACATTTCCGTTGATCGAAGCTGCCCAGTTTGTGGCCGTCTGCGGCCCCAGGAAACCAGCACAGCCCTGCAGGACCTGGGCTGCCCGTCAGAGGAAATGGGCTTTACAGCGGCTGCAGGAACGGGCAGCGAGGAGAGGGAGGGTGGGCTCAGGAGGGGATGGCTGGGGTTCACACCCCGGAACCCCCTCGGAGGCCCCGGATCCTCAGAGCAATCATTTAACTTGGCTTTTCCAGCAAACAAGCAGAAGCGTCAGCAGCGCCTTGGTAGGTGCCCCGAGTGAGCCCGGGGGAGGCCCCAGCAGAGACCTGCACACGAAACCCCAAACATCTCTGTTACCCGCCGTTGGGAGGAAACTGGCCCCAGCCCCTCCAGGAACCTCCCCCTGCCTCACCTCTGACAGCTGCTGGGGCCAGCGTGGGGCTTCCAGGTTCCCGCGGACTCGTGGATGGAATGTGGGCGTCCCACCGCCCACCTCGGTCCCCCAGGTCTGAATGGTCTCCTTTGACGGGGCCCCGTGCACCCCCATGCTTAGCAGTCTGCAGACCTTCCCTTAAATGCAGTGAGGCTCCGTCTGAAGAGGCTTTGGAAGCTGCATTTTTGAGTCAGGCCTTTTTTTTCCAATTGATTTCTGGCTCCAGGGGAGGCAAGGATTGGGGCGGGGGGTGAAGGAAAGTGCTTGCGGGAGTCAGGAGGCTGACAGCTCCCGGGAAGAAGGCACCGCCTGGCCTGCTCCTCACACTCCGTCCCTGTGACCTTGAGATGCCCTTGAGATGCCCTTGAGCAGGGGCCCCACCCTCCCAGTGTCCAGCAGCAGAAGGTAACCAGGTGCTTCAGCAACACATAGAATGTCAGGTCTCCCTGAAACACCTTGATGTGAGAGTGTCTGCTGGTCACGTGGGGAGGTTTCCCTCAAGGTGGAGAAGCAAGCAAGAAATGTTTTTGTATGAGTGTGCCTTCAAGTTCAAGTACAAATCCGACACAGAGGGAAGCCAACGGGAGGCAGGAAGCAGAGTCTGGAGCCTGCTTGGGGCTGTCACAGGCGTGTGTGTGCAGGCGTGTGTGTACAGGCACGTGTGTGCTGGCGTGTGTGTGCAGGCAAGTGTGTCGCAGGCGTGTGTGTGCAGGCATGTGTGCGCACGTACATGCATATCTTCTAATTGGTTCTGTTTTCGTGACAGCAGCCAGCCTCCCCTGCCCCTGCAAACTCAATCCTAGGCCCAGAATCTTGGAGGAAACCACGCACCAGCAGAGCCCCCAGCCCGGCCACACCAGCCGCCAAGGAGCTGGCCCTGATGGGGGCCACGGGGGGGCTGCCGCCTTCCCCAGGCCACCGCTCGCTTGGCCCCAGCCTGAGCGGGAATCCCCCTTCTGCACCCCCACTCCCGTCCTGCTGGCCGCAGCGGGGTGTTGGGCGGCAGGTGCCCGCCCTGCAGAGAGAAGGCTGCCGGCCCCAGGGAGGAGGTGGGGCCTAGACCGGCAGCTCCCAGGCCCTGTTGCTGCCTGCCGCCCCCTTCCAAAGTGCGGTCTGACACGTGTGCCTAAGCCTCTGGGTCTCAGCCTGCTGGCGGGGCGGCTAGCCCAGCATCTGGCTGGTGGGACCTCTGACCCCTGACCTGGCCACCTGTGTCAGGCTCTGGGGCAGCTGCCAGGGCCGGCCCCTCCTGGGACATGGCGGGGCCGGAGGCTGCCCTGGGAGCCTTCCCAGCAGAGGCCACGGGAGCGGGGAGGCCAGCGGCGGGGGAGGGCCGACACACCACGTCATTCTACGCGGGAGGAAATTCCGCCAGAGCCGCGGGGACCCCCAGCACAGGGCTGGCCTGCCAGGCAGTGGTTTCCTCTTTTTCAAATGCTTTTACAAACAAGCAAATGAAACAAAAACTGCTTATTATAAAGAAATACCACTGGCTCCCCGTGGGGGATTTTATGTCTGCTTCAGTGTCCTCTGCTGGATGTCGGCGCCCCCGGTCAGGACAGGGTCTCCCAGGGCTCTGCATGGCCGGGCGGGCCCACTCGAGCGAGGCCCTCTGCGGATGTGTGTTGGGCTGTTCCCGCGGTCTGGACCCGTGAAGGTGACCTTGGAGGCAGGCTCGGCTCCTCCTTCCGGCAAGGTCTTGGCGGCCAAAGTGAGGCCTCTGCTGCCACCTGGTGGTGACTCTTGGAATCGCAGTGACTAGTCCACCATCCTCGTGAACTGGGGAGGACGGGAATCCAATGTTCAGAGAGCTTGATAAATCTGCCTGTGGTCACACAGCAAGTGGGCTGCAGAACAGGACCAGCCTGGCTTGCTCACTGCCTCCTGACAGGTTGAGGGTGATGCTGTATGATAATGCCCACTAGGCAGTGGCTGCCAGTTCTGCTTCTGAGGTCAGACAGAGGCCAGGCCCTCGCCCATGGGGAGTGTCAGGTAGGTGACTCCGCCTGGAAGCCTGGATTTCCTCCCTGTCAGTGGAGCCCATTACAGGCTGCTGGGCTGCGCAGGAGCTGCCAGCTGCCAGTGTGGTTGACACAGCGCCTGGCACACAGTAGGTGCTCAGTTAATGCTTTTCCTGCTGCTGCTGCTGCTGCTGCTGCTGCTGCTGCTGCTGCTGCTGCTAATCATCTTGCTGCTCAGGGCAAAAATGAGATCCCAGGAGGGGACATGCCCATTCCTGATCCAGAACCACGTAACCACATTCCAGTCTCATGTTTGGTGGGATGAGGTCCCCCCACCCCCCAGAGATCTTGAATAAGACTTGAGACAGAAGAGGTGGTTTCAGACGAGGCCAGGCAAGACGGGGTCTCCCAGCCCACGTGCCATCAGGGAAAGTCCTCTCAGCTCCCTGCCTGGGCTGAGCCCCAGCACTCCCTGCAAACCACCAAGGAGCTCAATCCAGGACTCCCTGGGCCTCCCGCTTGGCCGCACACCCCTCGCCAGAGGGCCAAAGGCTGCGGCTTCAGGCCTGTGTTAGCCCGCTCCAGCTGCGTAACGCCTACCACAGGTGGGAGCCGTAATAGAAGTTCATTTCCTCACAGTCTGAGAGCAGGTTGTTGCAGGCCTGGTTCCCCTGAGGCCTCCCTCCTGGGCCTGCAGACGGCCGCCTCCTCCCCATGTCCTCACGCAGTCGTCCCCCTGGGTGTGTCTGTGCTGGTCTCATTTTCTTATAAACACGCCCGTCCTACAGGATCAGGGCCCACCCTGATGGCCTCATTCACCTTCACCACCTCTTTCACCTTAACCATCTCCAAAGCAGTTTCATTCCGAGGTGCCAGGGGGAGGACCTCAGCAGGTGGGTTTGGGGATCACAGCTCAGCCCGTTACCAGGCCGAGGCAGGAACCCAGTGAATGCAAGACCAGCGGTGTCTAACAACGGCCCGGCTCTGGCTGCAGCCAGGCCGGCAGGCCCCCAGCCCACCAGCGCCGTGCGGCGATGGGCCAAGCTGTGCAAAACCAAAGCCATCTTCTGACAACAGCTGGGGAGGCCAGGGGGGCAGAGGGCCTCAGAGACTCCAAACTTCAAAAGCACCCACTGCAGCCCCCAAGTGGCCACTTTTGCTGCCCACACAGGGCACCCTCTTCTCCACGGATGTGGACAGGACAGGCCTCAGGGGGCTTCCTGTTGGAAGGAGCAGGGCGGAGGGGGGTGGGGGGAGGAGTCTGGGGAAGTTCCCGCAGGGTGAGGACCCTTCTGTCGATGGGGGCCAGAGTGCCCGAGAGCCACAAGGGCGTGTGTGTGTCTGTGTGTGTGTGTGTGCACGCGCGCGCATAGGTTCGCACGAATGCCCTGCTTTCCACTTAAAACCCACGCGGCAGCAACTGTCCTGCCGCGTGCTGGGCAGCGATCACCGTCTGAGATTCTCCCCTGGGTCCTCCCCTGCTGGTGGCCAGCTTCTGCCGGGAGGAGGCGTGAGGGAACCACCCCGTCAGGGTCCCCGAGGCCCCTGGCCTCCACTCCCCAGCAAAGCGCCTCTGCACGGCCTGACACACCAGCCGTGCCCGTCCAGCCGTGGCGTCTGCTCGCTTTCCGCTCCCGGAGGCCGCATCTGGCCACTCCCCTGGCCCTCCCCGTGGTCACCGGTCACCATGCAGCCGGCAGGGCCCCTGGCTGAGCCCCCGCCGGCTCCCTGGTGGAGGCTGCTGGCCTTCACGCTAGTCTCCCCCCATCTCGGGGGTCTGGGCAGACAGTGAGAAGGCCACCCCCTCTGGGTGGACCAGTCAGCCCTGGTCACCAGAAGCCCCCGAGGGCCCCTCAACCCGCCCCTCGCGCCCCAGCGACGCTTTGCACGGCGCCTTCCCCCCTGCTCTCCAAACTCCCCGCACAGACGGCACGGCCACCACACAGCAAGTTGCTTGTCACCTGCTCTTTATTGACTGCCACGAGCTGCATTCTCACGGGTGACCAGACACCCCAGGAGCAGCACTACGTACAGGGAGGTTGAAGGGAAGGTGGTCTGAGAGAT